GCCGCTAATTGGCTGCAGAATTTTATGTACCACTAAATTACCCGATGCAAATGCACCGACTTCCGTCCCTCCCCGTTCGCCGCAGATATTCCAGAAGCACGCGCACCAACACGAGCCTGCCGCTCTCCCGCAAGATTTACGCCGGCCTCATTATCCTAATGAAGACGTAACGGCTGAAAAACGACTCGCGATTTTTGTCGAAAACCAGCTACATACTTGGTCTGCCCTTCGAGATCTACTCTCTTGTCGTTCACCTTCCGATCTCCTTCTCTTTCTCTCGATTTAATCGAAACGGAGAAATCCAAGTTACGGATAGTCCAGACCTTGAGATCCAGCCTCCGAAGCAAAGAAGGCGAGTGGGAAGGACGGGAGGCTGTCAGCGGCAAGATATCGTCTGAGAATTCGGTTTAATCTGTCGTCGAATTAACACGGACCGGGCGCGAGTCCAAGAGGATCGAAGCTACCGGTGCAAATCGGTGTGCACCGCAGGCGATAAAGCGTTCAGGGAGCCAGGAACGCAAGCGTTTCTTCGTCAAACGTCCAGCTGGGAGAGGGTAAACGGCGCTAACTGGCCAGGAATTATAACAAACTTGTAATGCCCGCTTAATATTCCGGCCGGCGGAGGGTGACAGATTTACGAGTGCTAATGAATCGGTAGCTGGCTGTTCTTCTCCCGGTCGTTTCGTCGATCGAGAGGCGGTTTGTCGCGCGGCACTAGCATCGGCACTCTGCTCTCTGCTCCTCGCTCGGACCCGGCCGATTACGTGGGTGCCTCGGTCTCTATACCCGGAAATCATTAGGTCCAAGGGCAATTTGAAATTTGTCGAGGATCTAACGGGGGCCAAAAAACTTCGGTGGCGAGGAACACGGCGGAAGAAGCAAAAAGGGAGGACGTCGATGAAGTAGAAGACGAAGAAGAAGAGGATGCCTCCTCTCTGTGTTCCCTCCGCTGTGTTCGCTCGATAGCCGAATAAATTTGGGTAGCTCCCTGTTTTGGCCCCGGGCCACGGTTACAGCGAGGTAGACTTTTTCGGATATACGATCGGACCTTTCGTAACGCGCCGCGCGCGCACACACACCGGACAGAGAGGCGAACAGAGGGCGAAAAAGAGACTGCCGGGTCGCTCTCTCACGATGGATTTAATTAAAAAACATAATTTAGAAGGGAGGATAACAGGTAGCTGCCGTTTGGTGGGAACTAACGCAGGCTTGGTCGCGGTGCAGCCTCGGTTGCTCATGAATAAAATTATTAATCCTGCCCTCGAGCGAAAGCTTCTCTATCGTTTCCCAATAGACACGAAACGCCGCCAAAATGACCAGTCTAATTCTCTCTCTCCCCTCTCCTCTCTCCTCTGACCGTGATTTCACCAGGAAGAGGAAAGTTTGTCTTTGTTTCGAAGTAAAGTAGGCACGGTTGATCGTCACTGGAGGTTCAGGCTGAAAAATCCATTCGTCGAGGATAGTGTCGTGGCGAAGCTCGAGATCAAAAGAGAGGGCACCGCGTCGACCGCGGGCAAGAAGAGCAACGCCATCTTGCCCGGAGAGAAACGAATCGCGGCAATTCTCATTTCGGATCGTACAATTTACAAATTCGCTTCCCGCCTAAAAGGTAGGAGAAATGGTGGTGAGCAGCGGCACGATCTGCGAGGCAAATAGTACGTGGGAGTAATAAGTTGGTCGTTCAGGAGGTCGAAAGGGGCACCGTTTTATCGAGACAAGTCTGCGTGTCGGCGGTGCAGTTGCATGCAGTGGCCGATAAACAAATAATTAGCATTAGAAGCGAGGCACGATATCGCGGCGATCACCGTTGACCACGTAGCTACGTATCCCAGAGGGTCGCGCATCGAGTCGAGTCGATCGAGCGGTAACGACCGCGATATTCGTCCACGATCCACCGGGTATATTTTCCCTGGGTGGCCAGGAGGAAGCAATTAAGAGAAAAATATGAAAAATCTGGAGGAGAGAAGCGCGTGTACGCGCGCCCGCTTTAATTTAATCTCTCGCGGTCGCTTTTATTGCCGCGCCAAGTTGTTACACGGAAGAGCTTATTTTTACAGCCGGCGCCGCGTTGCTTTTATAGGAACCAGATCGATATTAAGATTGCGCGTGGCCCGTTTACCGGGGCATAACGCTGTGCGCCGTCGAATACGACCTGCACGGTTTATGGGTATTTCGCGAGGGATATCGGGCCACAACGGAGAGATAAGTGGTCGACGTTGCCGCGAAACGCTCGAAATCCCGCGATTCGGAAAAACGAGAGTCCCCCCCACACTGTTCCACGGTCTCTCTCGCTGGGAGACGCAGGTGGATCCAATCAGGCAGGTGCCGGAGAGACGACGCAGCGGTCAATGCCTCTCGGGAACGACCGACGCTTTTTACACGGAAACCAGAAAAGACCGCCGGCTAATTTCGCGTCCAGCTCTATTACCGGAGAAAGAGGAGACCCGACCTTCCCTCTGCTTTTTACCCGCTTTAATTGTCTTTTCGGGATATCCTCGAGAGCTACGCACCTCTGCCCGTGCTTCAACCAGGAACTCCGAGCATGTTGGCGTTTGAGGTGCGATCGTGCGAGGACTTTATTTGCGGCTTGCGCCGTCAGAGAGGGAAAGAAGCTTGACGCGTAGACGTCGGATGCGGTTTGCCACAAGCCCAGTTGGATCGACACCCTACCAGGTTTACATGTTCGCACCCTCGCCCTGTGTCGGCTGGCTGTCGTGCGAACCCAGCTGTCGCGTGGCTCTTTCACTCGCTCCAACACCCACCGTGGTTGCTCCCGTTTCGTTTCGCCCATTCACCGACCGCGCACTGCTTTCTCTCTACCGTCTAACGATCACAGAGCACACCGATAGTTTTTAATTCACAACTCGACGACACATTTTTCCCCCCGCTTATCCGCGTTCGAATCGCCACGAGAGTATGGAAAAATGGCCAGGCGCTGTTTTCTCATTTTCTCCGCAACAGTTTACGGACCTCTGCTCGTGAACACGTAATGAATCGCATTCGTTACACCGTCTATAGCTGGTTCGACACGCATCCCCGACCCACTCGAACGTAAGATTCGCGTTAGAACCGTTGACAAGCCTCCAAATCCCCCTCTTACTCGATCCCTGTTTCCTCGAAACGTTCGACCGGCAGCCTCATTGTTGAAACTTTACGACGACCTGCATCCCCCGAAAGTCACGTTGGCTGGTGTTACGCGGTTCTCGGAAGGTAGCCAGTGGAGAGAGGCGAGGAAGAACGGAGCAGCACGACCAGGCTCCCTGGTTTTAATTTATGCGCGGCACAGCCGAAGGCGTTATTAGTCCTAGCTGGCTAGGATGGGCGTGACGTCACGCGGCTAAAACAAAGGATCCTAGCCGTGCCCATCCCACGATGGCTCTCTTTCAACCGTGCCGACAGCCGGCCCATCGACACTCGCGGAACGCGAGCTTTTCTTCCTCGCTATACCATATCTATTCCCCGTGCAATTCGTCGTCGAACAGGGCCAGGACGGGAACGACGCGAGGCGACGCGCAACGGTTCGAAGAAAAGAAAGGCGTGCAGTCCTGGTGTGGTATGCGTGAGTAGTATGCATAAAACATAAACGGTTGGCGAAGAATCGTGGCGATAGACGGAGGACAGGTATAGGCGGAGGTGAACGAGCGAGTGGAGCGTATCGGCGACTCGAAGGCGCCGCGCGCTCGTGCTCCGCTAGCACGGAATAACGACTCCTTTTCGTTTCTGCTCGGCGTAATTATAGACTGGCCGGAACTACCGGCTAATATCGCTCTAATCGATAACCCTATTAACGCGCTTCACGCATTCTCGTTAAGCGGTCATCCAGACGTTCCTCTCCTCCTATAGATCACGTATCGATCCTGACGCGTCGATCTGACCTATAGAACACGCGGGACCAAGTGGAACAAGGAGTTTTTCTACACGGAGCGGGCAATACCGCGTGCGTGGTTATAGAGTCGAGAAAGGAAGGCAGAGCAGGCTAATTGAGAGACGTCGTTGTCTCCACCGGGCCACTGTCATATCGTTCCAGCGGATCAATACGTAGCCTGCCTACAACCTGCACTCACGAAGCTCGAAGAGGGCGTGGCTCGTACACCACCGGCCGAGAGATACTCTCTCTCTCTCTCCCGTCCTCCTGTTTCCCTCTCTCACCTTTCTCCACTTTCTCTCCCCTTTCTGGCAGCCCTCTATCTCTCACCCTAGCCGCGCGGCCACCAGAAAGGATGATTTCGTCTTCCGCCCCTCGGCGCGCGAGCGTTAAAACTCTCGGCCACCTTCCTATTCGTCAACGGCTCGAAACCGGGGCCATCCCTTTTCCACGGTAATTAACGTCTTGGTTATGCAACGAACAGTACGCGCAATTTACGCAACAGTTCGATGGTTTGGGTCGATAGGGATTTTGAAGTGGCGCCTAACGAGCCAAAAGGTGACAACCTTGTGTAAGCGTAAAAGAAGGCGAAAGAGTCGACGACCTA